GTGTAGCTGGTTAAGAGAAATACCGCTGTCAGACAGGTCTAAGAAAACCCAAAAAGATGCGGACGATCCAACAACCATCGGAATGTACGTATCCTGAATTCCCCGCCAACAGACATCAGCGCCAATTCCTCACAGCTTTGCTGCAGTATTCGGTGATCAGTGTCGTCAGGCCCGGCCTAAAAAAATTCTGCCCCCGTTTTCTTTTCTGAAGTCGACTAATTCTGTCTTTAGTTGTACGCATGACTGTCGGGGCTTCTGGCCTGGGAACAAATCCATCTGTCCAATGTGTTTTTGTTTATTACATATATAACAAACGAACGAAGAAAAAGAAAAGAAAAGAAACCATCTGTCCATGCCTCTCAGTCTCAGTTGTCGGTGGCCGGCTACATACGCCGGAGGCATCGGTCGAGGGCTGAGCCCTCCACACCTCCACGCGGTGAGCTTGGGGGGCGTAGGAGTACGTTGCTTTCGGGGCTCTCTTGGATTCTGCTCCGATCCGTGGAGAAAAACAACGGACGCGCGCAGGTAGTAACAAGTTGTTGTTGTTGCTGTTGACAGCAGCTGCAGCAGCCTCTATTGGAGAACGTAGCTTGCTAGAGCTGGGTTGTTTGTAGTGCTACAGCACATGACTCTACAAAAGGGAGGAACTGGGGAAGTATGAAGGAAGAGAATTAAACAGACGGGAAACATCACACATGTTTTCCACGTACCCCATGCGCCATGCGCTTTGAGATTGGTCTGTATCTATATTTTAAAATCTCTATAAGTGCTTTCAAATGATGTGAACATGAATTTGCTTCACATTCAAGCGGCTTGCCTCCCTGGCTCTCTACTAAGTTCTTTTTTACAGGGACCTGCCGACTAAAGTGTGCGACCCATTTGTCTAGCTGTAATGGTAAATGTGGGCATATAAGCAACTTTAAAAATGAAATTTAAATAATCAGAGCTCTTAGTTGCAATTTGAGGGGTTTTCTTTTTCTTTTTTTTTGTTAGCCTTTAAATAGTTGATCCAACTCTAGCGATAACCCTCAAATTTGAGTCCTTATTCTTCTCATAACATGTGGGACCCTTCACTACTACTACAGGAATCTTATTGGAGGCGGGCAAACATGATTAACGGATGCGGGCAAAGCAACCGCCTCCAATAAAAGGTCACGGTTACTCCTCATGACCTACGAAGGCGGTTAAATTGCCCGCCTCGGTTAATCTATTTATGGAGGCGGGCGTTGTACCGTGCCCGCCTGTGAAAATGGATTAAAAAATAAAAAGGGCAGAAGCCCACCGGCGAGCCCATTTTTGAGCCTGCCGGCTCCCAGCGTCAAATCCACAAGTCCCAACGCCGGATCCACGAGCCCGACGCGCCGAAGTACGCGCCACTGCCGGAGTCCCACGTCCAGCGCCGCCGCCGGAAACCCGCGAAGATCCGTGCCGCCAGGAGCTTCCGGAGAAGATGTGCACCACTAGGAGCTTCGTGGTGGGGAAAGGGAGCGGATCCGCCGCTGCTACTGCTCGAGCCCCGACGCGCCGGAGTACGCGCCACTGCCGGAGTCCCCGCATCCAGCGCCGCCGCCGGAAACCCGCGTAGATCTACGCCGCCATGAGCTTCCGGAGAAGATCCGTGCCACCAGGAGCTTCGTGGTGGGGAAGGGGCACAGATCCGCCGCTGTTACTGCCTACTGCTCCTGCGCTCGCCGGCCGCTGCTACTGCTCCCTGTGCTGCAGTCGACGGGGAGGGAGGGAGTTGCGCCGCAGGGAGAGGGGCGGCCTCGGGAGAGAGGGGGGCAGCCACCCACCAAATCTAGGAGGGAGGGAGAGCCGTCCTGCGCTGCCAGATCTAGGAGGGAGGGAGTGAGGGAGAGTTGCCTTGCGCCACCGGAGGGAGAGGGGTGGCCACCGGAGGGAGGGGGACGCTCGCCACCTGCAGGATCTGGGAGGGAGAGGGCCTCCCTTGGCCTGTGGAGGGAGGAGAAGGAGGAGAGGGAGAAGGGCCGCGACACTTAGAGGAAACGCCGCTCTCGGCTGAAGAGGGAGAGGGAGAGTAAGTGAAGGAAGAAACCATAACTTCCTATATTTATAGCGAAGACGGCTATTGGGCCTTGACTAGGCCTGTTGGGCCTCGGTCTTTTTAGGAGGCGGGCCTTCGAAAATAGATTTATGGAGACGGGCACCTTAAGACGACTGCCTCCGAAAATAGGCTATTTTTGGAGGCGGTTGTCTTAAGGCCCCCGCCTCCGTAAATCGATTTTACATGGCGGGCAGATGTGACCGTCTCAGTAAATAAAAATGACCGCCTCCATTAATAGCCCAGCATTTTAGGAGGCAGTTGGATTTTGTGCCCGCCTCCGTTAATATTTGAGCACTGCCTTCTAAAATCATTTGTGTAGTAGTGCTTTGTTATTGCCATACCCTTCTCTCTTTTTCTACCTCCTCCATCATGACGTGATATCGTTCGTCGAACCGCTCAAGCCGCTTGCTGAAGCGCACATGTGGTACCGCATCACCTAGGAATCAATCACTTCCACTAGGAGAGGTCGAGGTGGCGGCTTCCCCTAGCACCCATGTCACCCCCGCCAGGGCGCTGGCACTCGTGTAGCACCTCGCTCGGTATCAACACCAGCGTTGTGTCCTTGTTGGGCACCCCCACCATCACTGCCCTGCGGGCCTCGCCCACTTGTGCTCATGGTCCGTTTGTATGTGCGCTGTCATATTCTAGGTGTAGTCATGCAGTGGCTGTGGTAGTGGGAGGGGGGTTAGTGGAGGCAGGGAACTCTAGCGGTGGCTCCCGTTCGTGCAAAGGCACGCAGAGAGGGATGAAAAATGTAGCAACAAAAAAGTAGGGTTCTTTCGAGGTCTTGGAGAATGATGGTTGAGGGGTTATTTAAGCTATCGAAGCTGCTAGCGTCTGGATGTTTGCATCCAGACACTTGCGCCTGTTGCGCCCCCGCGTACTACGCCTGCTTCACATGGGGGCCCATGCCACTCCGTTTCCCGTGCATGCGAGCGCTCGCTCCGTTTCCCGTGCCTACTGCTCACGTGCTCTCTGCTCCCACACGCATGCACGGGGGCCCAACAGCTGCAAGAAGGTGGCTGCGGCAGGTGGGTCCTACTGCAACATGTGCAATATCAGATATACTTTTACAACATCCAGATGAAACATTTACAATATATATCTAAAAACAGATGAAACATTTGAGACATACACTTAAAACACCATTGCAACATGTCCGACATCCCGATCTACTTTTGAAACATCCAGATGCAACACTTGCAACATACAAAAAAAGAAAGAAGAAACACTTGAAACATGCGTCTGAAACATTTTTTAAAAACACTTGAAAATCCATTGCAAACTTACGTAACATCCAGATAAAACACTTACAACAAATATGGACAATATATGCAACATCCAAGTAAACACACTTGCAACATACGTGTGAAAAAACAGAAGAAACATTAGGGATAGACGCTTGCAATATACATGTACAACCATTGCAACATATGCAACATCCCGATCCTCTTTTGCAACATCCGTACGATGTACTTGCAACATACCTCTAAAGCATTTTAAATATTTGAATTGTACATTTACAACATGCATCGTAACCCGCTGCAGCCTCCTCTGCCGTCTATATCGGGGCGCCCGAGCGCCGCAGCCGTAGCAGGAGGCGAGGCCGGAGGGCTTCCGCGCCAGGGCTCGATGCTTATCCTTGCGCTGGCAGCGCTTATTGGCGTCATCGGGCGGGGCGAGCAGCGGAGCAGGAGCAGCGGGGCGGGCACGCGGAACAGGAGTAGGAGTAGCAAGGCGGGTGTGTGGAGTAGGAGCAGCGCTGGGAGCAGTGTCAGGAGCATTGGGGCGGGCGCGAGAAGAGGAGCAGGAGTAGAGAAGCGGCGTGACGAAGTAGGAGAGGAGCCGGGGCGGCCGTGGTGCAGGGCTAGGAAACGTCATGGCGGATGCGGCCGATGCGAATGGGGAAAATATCGCTCTTCCTTTTTTTATAAACCGTGTATGATGTGGTGAGGGTAGCAGGCCTGTGGGCCGGTGCGCAACCCTAGCTAGAGCGTCCGGATGGACAGAAGTGGGACGGACACGTGCTGTGGAGCATTACCGTTAAGCTATTCTCCCTAGTTTGGTGGTTTGGGCAAAGATTCTGTTAGAGCTATGTTTTTTGGCAACGTATCAGGTGCAAACCAACTAACCTATGTAAACTTAAAAACTATCAATCAGAACCACTGGATCCTGATCCAATGAATGGGGTGAGAGGTGGGATTTTTTTTGCGCTTAAGCCCCCCACCCGCCATCTTTTTTTTGCGCTTAAGCCCCCTCACCCCATCCATTGGATCAACATTCAGTGATCATGATTGGTAGTTTCCAAGTTTACACAGGTTGATTGGTTTGCACATGATATGTTGTCTTGTTTTTTTTTGTTTGAAGTTTGAACTTTTAAGTTTAAGTTTGTGGTCTGAGTAGGAGTTGTGCTCGAGCTACGCTAACAAAGTCAAACTGGATGGTCACATAGCAATGTTGGCTTTGGCTGTGTCTGTGTATATATGAGTGGGATTGGAATATTGGATTAGCCCAAATAGTTTTCTCTTCCATGAATTTAGGCGTTCATTTCTCTAAGAAATATTCTCCACGGTGTCATCATATAGAAGCAGCCGGTTTCTCCGCTCGGTGAGCTGGCCACACTGACTCCTTCCCAATCAAGGTTGACTCGCCGCACTGGGGGCCATCTACACCATCCAATCCTGATCGGACGGACGTCACGGCAGAGCAGAGTCCCCAATCCCCGCACCCGCCTCTTGCTACATGCGCTGGAGTCAACGGTCAACGTGCCGGGCACTCGAGCGAGCGAGCGCCTGCGCTGCGCCTCTATAAAGCACACGAGGAGCCGGCCGGCCGCTTGCCTGCCTGCACCTCCGTCCTCCTCTGGTTTCCCACCAGCCCAGCCTCTCTGTCATCCTCCATTCTGGACGCCGCCGAGGAAGCACCCTTGAGGGCCATGGGGACGCAAGCGCCGGAGAACTACCCCCCTGAAAAGGTACCGTCTCCCTCCCTCTCTCAACCCCGCAAACATGCCCCCTGTTCTGAGTGCTCTCCCATCCATGATCCATCTTATGTCTTGTGTCTTGCTTCGCCGGCCATGGCGGGCATCTGCTCAGCCATCTACCTACCTGTGCTGCCCACCCACAACCAAGATCGCACGGCACGGCCGGCTGGGTTTAATTAGCAACACCTGTCGTTCTTGGAAGCCTCTGCAGTTGGATGCATACGCCGTTATTTCAGACATTCTGAAGCAGAGCACCAAAAAAAAAAAAGATTCAAACTTTAGAGTCGTTGTTTGTCTTAGTTTCGAAAAGCCAAGAAAAAAAGAATCATCCTGTGGCGGAGTTGAGGGTCCACTGAGATTAGATTCAGATTCAGATACCTTTGCGGCACTCCCCCAATATCACGGGAAGAGAGGGGAAAAAAGAAAAAAGCGTATTTTTGGACGCCTTTCGCGTGGCGGATTTCCACCGCCTCGCCGGCATCAGCAAAAGTGAAGGCCCCCCCACTCATCCCCCTAGCCATAGCTAGGTGCGTAGCATCTGCCCATGCCCATGCCGCCTGTTCGGCTGTTCATCTGGTACATGTGAAATCGCCTCCCCTGTTCATCCTCTTTTTGTTTGCTTTTTATTTTAATATTTTCTAGAAAGAGGTTACTAGGATGGAGTATATACTCCGTATTAAATACCTGATTCTCAGGATCGGCGTGAATTCTGATGCTTTGCCTTAATTGCAGAATTTCACCCTCATCCTATTAAAAGATTAACTGTTACCTAATCTTGATGACCTGTATTATCATTAATTAATTATTTTATTTATTCATTCCCTTGGTAATCCTTTTGCTATAACCTGTCTTTTTCTTCCGAGCTATTTATTTATTTTTCTAGTTTGTTGCACTTTCTTAATTTTTCGCAAAAATCATTTTTAGCTTTACACTGGCGTACAAATTAAACAATAGAGTTTGACTCGATCTCAGTCCTTATGGCTGTCCTTACCACACGCTGGCCTCCATCCATCGCTTGACAATGAAGTCCCCGGCCTCTGCAACTTCCATACAAAGACTATAGCACCCCATCTGTACATTTCACTGTCATGACCAAGCCGGGGCAACATCGCTGTCACTTTGAAATTCACAGCCGAACCTCTTGTCCTCTCTAGGGTTCGATGCTCCTCACCTTGCCACTCATGGAGCCCCTTTCTCTTGACTTATGTTTGGGACGCAGGAATTTCTTAGGGAAACCACGTCCGGTATAGGGAAAGTGGACGATGCATTCGTTCGTACCGTACGTCCAAAGCCCTAACGGACATATGGGGGTAACAATTAATTACCAGTATTAATTCAGAGGAATCGCCGCGGGTTTCGCCAGCTGCCACCATCAAAGACAGATTACGATCAGCGAGGGGTCAAGCACGATTAATTATTCATCTGATGACCGTGACCCTGACAAAGTGACATGTACGTAGTCCCAATTAGATTACATGATCATCACAGGCCCCAAGAACAAGAGGTCGAATATTGGGTTAGGATTAGGAGTAGGATTAAGTCACAACTTGTTAATCTTGTCAGCCTGGCTATCTGTCCTCTTTAGCAGAGATATTGCGCCAGATTTTTTTTAATGCATAAAACTACTACCTAACATGCTTGGCGTGAAAAAACAAAGGATCATGGACTTGACTTTGGCAACTGGGTCATGTGACTAGTCAACTGCTGAGCAGAAAAGAAATCGGCAGTGCAGTAGGTGATCTCACTGAACATTGAAATTTCAAAAGATACACTTCAATTGAGTTGAAAACTTCCACTGTTGATCTGTCGCTTATTAGTCGGCCGTTGTGGACTTATGGGGCACATTCGACATGTCATTCGCCTACAACTTTAGTATTTTTTAAAAAGTAGTGGTACTTATCACTGTACTGTAAAATGTCGTAAATCTAAATACGTCCAGCTCATGCTCATTCATATATCATATAAAGAAAAATTAAATAAACTGCACTATCTTTGTATGGATACTCAAATATCTTGATCTGCAATACCATCTACTTCTTTATCACCTGCTTGTCTAGTGTTTCTTTCTTTTGCTTTGTGTGTGAGCAACCAAGATCTGCAGATTGTGTGACCTTCAATGGCCGTGCCAACTAACAGCGACAATTGCAAAAACTTGCAGGATGCAAGGAGTGCACGGGAGAAGGCCATTGATGATTGGCTCCCAATTACCTCTTCGAGAAACGCCAAGTGGTGGTACTCTGCTTTCCACAATGTCACCGCCATGGTCGGTGCTGGCGTGCTCAGCCTTCCCTACGCCATGTCTGAGCTCGGCTGGTACGTTATGTCCCATCTTGCAGCCACATGGCGATCACAGTCAATTACATGCCGATCAGTTTACTTGCTCATCTTGTGTACTACTGCTGCATTTATGAAAAAAAATTGACTTGTTTGAATACTCAATTTGTCAATTTGCAGGGGTCCTGGCATTGCGGTGCTGATTGTGTCATGGATCGTCACGCTCTACACGCTGTGGCAGATGGTTGAGATGCACGAGATGGTACCAGGCAAGCGCTTCGACAGGTACCACGAGCTTGGTCAGCACGCGTTCGGCGAGAAGCTGGGGCTGTGGATCGTCGTGCCGCAGCAGCTTGTTGTTGAGGTCGGCGTCAACATCGTCTACATGGTCACCGGCGGCAAGTCTCTGAAGAAGTTCCACGACGTCCTGGTCTGCGATGACACGGTGTGCGACGGCAAGCACAACATCAAGACCACCTACTTCATCATGATCTTTGCCTCTGTCCACTTCGTGCTCTCTCAGCTTCCAAACTTTAACTCCATCTCTGGTGTTTCCCTAGCCGCCGCCGTCATGTCGCTTAGGTACTACTTCACTCCATATCCTTGCCTCAGCTACATTGCACTGTAGTTCAGGGGAAAAGATTGATCACTAACATGGATAAACATGGCAGTTACTCCACAATCGCTTGGGGCGCATCAGTGGACAAGGGTAAGATGCCGGATGTGGACTACCACCTGCGTGCGACAACAACGTCGGGGAAGGTTTTAGGTTTCTTTGGTGCATTGGGCGATGTGGCCTTCGCATATGCAGGGCACAATGTGGTTCTTGAGATCCAGGCCACTATCCCATCGACTCCAGAGAAGCCATCCAAGAAGCCCATGTGGAAGGGTGTCATTGTTGCCTACATTGTGGTTGCGCTATGCTACTTCCCTGTTGCGCTCATCGGCTACTGGGCTTTCGGCAACACAGTCGATGACAACATCCTCATCACCCTCAGCAAACCTAAGTGGCTTATCGCCCTCGCTAACATGATGGTCGTAATCCATGTCATTGGCAGCTACCAGGTACATATACCACCCTCCCACTTTGTACTTTGTTTCTATTTGAAGATTTAGTATTTGTGCAATGAAATGTTTGTAAACCTTTATAGCAGCTGAACATCACACAAGTTTTCATTAAAATGGCCGTGTACTATTACAATTTCTGTAAGTTGTCATGATGTAATCAGAAAAATGAATGTTTTGATGCAGATCTATGCCATGCCAGTGTTTGACATGATAGAGACTGTGCTGGTGAAGAAGCTGCACTTCCCTCCTGGTCTGACACTGCGTTTGATTGCTCGGACCGTCTATGTTGGTAATGCTCCATGCCGTCAGTCTGAACTGTACTTTTGTCACCTAATTGGTGACTCACTCTGAAAAAACGGGGACTAATGTGATACAACCTGTGCAGCGTTCACAATGTTCATAGCCATCACCTTCCCCTTCTTCGGTGGATTGCTCGGTTTCTTTGGTGGATTTGCCTTTGCGCCGACGACTTATTTCGTAAGCTCTCATTAATCCATCTTTGTTTTGAGTTCTTGCAATGCCATAACCTGCAGTTACATCTGTGTTTCTAACGCTTCTATGCAATCGAAGTACTTGGTAATATAAGTGAGCTAAAATGTTTTGGTTGATTTCTGCCAGCTTCCCTGCATCATGTGGCTCGCAATCTACAAGCCCAAAAGGTTCAGCCTCTCTTGGTTGACCAACTGGGTAAGAATTACTATCCATCAAGCATATCTTCATTCATTTTGGCATAGAATGCCTCTCTGCTTATTAACCTTTCCTCCTATAATAAACCAACCTCTGTGTTCTGTGTTCATCAGATCTGCATTATTCTTGGGGTGCTTCTGATGATTCTATCGCCAATTGGAGGACTTCGGCAAATAATACTGGATGCGAAAACCTACAAATTCTACCAGTAAACTACGTACTACCAACCATGACTAGTAGGCATGATTGGAAAATTGAAATCTGTCAAAGCCTCAACCACGAGTTTTTTGTCGTGCCAAACACAGGAAGTTCCTAGTACTATATATTGTTCCAGATGTTGGGTTAGTTATTATATATAAATACATACGTATTGTTTCTTAATATTCCAAGGTGACCGTGGCTTGTGTGTATGTGCATAAGTGAGAATTAATGATGGTGGTTGTCCCAGATATTGGTGGTTTATTCACTTGCTTTGTAGTTGGCACTTTGAAAGTCGGGCCAATTGTTCGCATGCATTCTGGGCTAATATAATATGTCCCCACGGTTGGACTCGTATTTGACGTGGGATTTAATACTGGGAAAAAATCCACATTATCTCCTTCAACTTTCGCAAAAATTCGTTTTTTCTCTCCAAACTCCAAAACCGAGCAAAACACCTTCCTCAACTTTTAAAACCGTTCATTTTACCTTTCTGACCCTGTTATAAGCGGTTTTGAAGCCAGTTTTGTCTTTTTCTTTTTTATTTATTTTGGCTGTATCTTTAAAAAATTATAGTAAATCATAGAAAAATCATAAAATAGAAAATCCAATTTTGTTGGACTCCACATGAATAGATCTACACAGTGACATGAAAACTGCAGATATGAATTATTCCAATTAATTACATAAAATCATAGATCTAAAGCCACAACAAAAACTTTGTATTAAAGCATACCATATTATATGTTCACTGTGTAGATCTACTCATATGGAGTCCAACAAAATTAGATTTTTCATTTTATGATTTTTCTGTGATTTACTATGATTTTTCAAAGATTCAGCCGAAATAAATAAAAAATAAAGAGAAATACTCAAGTACAGTTGCCTGACAATCTGTTTATCCGTCAGTCGACGGACTCACAAGAAGATGAACGATTTACTAATTAACTCCGACGCTGTGCCCAGCCAGGAACCGGCCGGCCGGCCGGCGATCTCTCCCAGCCAGCCAGGCACCGCGTGCCGGTCCACTGACGCCGCTAGATAGCTCAGGGGCGCTTGCACATCGGGGGTTCCTGTGCGGTGCAGTCCAAGGCGCACAGGCAGGTAGGTATAGCCAGGTCAAGCAAGCAAGGAAGGGCCGGCAGCCCGGCGCGTGGGTCAGCAAGCGATGCTTTTGCGGCTGCAGTTGCACACTTACACGACGAGGCAGGACGGCACCAAGGGCTGGCTAGCTCGGGGCACTCGGCGGAGCAAGTGGTTGAAGATGACTCAAGCTTATGCAAAATCTCAGGCAACTGCTGTGGAGACACACCCAAAAAGAAAAAGATAAAACCGTCTTCAAAACTGCTTATAACATGCCAGTGAGATAAGATAAACGGTTTTAAAAGTTGATGGAGATGTTTTGCCTGGTTTTGGAGTTCAGGGAGAAAAAGCGGACTTTCACGAAAGTTGAGGAGGTAATATGAACTTTTGCCTTAATACTTTTCCTTTTTCTGTTGTTACTTATGTAAGGAATACAGCCTGGCCCATAAAGACAGCGGTACCCATTAGGCTTAGAGTACATGATATTTGGGATTTGAGCAGTAGGCCTTTTCATTCCTACTCCCACAGCGCAGGCTTCTTTCCCTTATGCTCTTTTTTCGCCGTTACAAGGATGGCATACATACGCTGATACGCACCACCATGCACGCGCACTAAAGCCACACCCAACCAAGTTTGCCTCCAAATCTCCAATAGTACGCTTGCAATTACAAAATGCAAATTGATCACTGCAAGGAGTCTCGGGTGTGTTAATCATGGGTACAAATAATTATGCGTGTGATTGGTAGTGATCCATATTTTTTTAAGAAATGTTTTGAATCTAGATTTTCTAAAAAATCGTTTCAGATGATGAATCAGAATTATTTCATGGAACCATTTGACAAGCTCGCTAGATTTTTAAGACTAGAACTAGAATATGGAGAAACCATGTTTTAAGTGTTCTTTTTGACTAGTACAAAATGAGAATCGGTTCTAAGTGACTCTCCTTGAAACGTTTCTCTCTTTGTAGTGTTTGGCAACGATTGTAGTGATTTTATTGAGAATCTAAAACGTTTCTCTCTGCCAAACGCATCCCATATACTCATCGCGTTCAAGGATATCCGAAATTAAAAGTGCAAATGAGGAGAAGGACTGTAGTAATCCCTCTATTCTTTTTTATATGTCGTATTAGTGTTTTCCTAAGTCAAACATTTTTAGCTTCGACCATCAATTTCAAAAAATATATTCATATTAACAACATAAGATTTATGTTTTAGATTCGATATAACAAATACTCTCATAATATATATTTTCCATGGTGAAAGATGAAAAAATGTTTAATTTAGGACAAACCTAATACAACATGTAAAAATGGAGGGAGTACAATGCAAGTTGGCGGAGAGAGGCGCAACACCTGGTAAAATTCACACCCGGTCCTTAAAATTGGTTGACTATACCATTCTGGTCTCCCAACTTCTAAATTCACACCTGGACTAAATTTTTTAAGTTTTTGCCTGATTTATGATTTTTGGGTGATTTCTAGGAAATAATTTGTAGAGGCGGATGTGATTTACAATCGCATCTAGAAATCGATTTCTAGGGGTGGTCGTTGTTGTCAGCCACCTCTATAAATCCCATTTCTATAGCCGCCTCTACAAATCGCTTATTTCTAGCAACGTAAGCTTAGAGGCAGCCGGCCCAGCAGCTTCTACAGAGCAATTACAACCATCTCTACTGATGCTTGTTGTAGTAGTGTCAGCACCCCATGTAAACCACCGAACATACAAGATAAGAGATCTATTCTCCACTAGATGTAGGGTACCCTGAACCATTATACATCTGTGCCTCCTGTGCTACCCATCTAGTTCGTTGCTCATAAAACATTGATCTACATTGTTAAGAGAAAAAAACTATGACAATTGCACAACACACTCATCTGTGATTATGTGTAGGACACTATCTTTTAATTTGTTTCAACATTTTGTATTTTTATATTGAATATTTTAGCCTCTAAATGATCAAATGAAAAATATTTCAACTACAAAGTTTTAGGTCATATTGAGCTCTACAATTCTTATAAATGGTGTGTCTATCCGAGATAGTTTGAAAATTCAAAGAATTTGAATATCAAAATCTGAGAATTTTGAATCGATATTTGGGGCTTTAAAGTTGTCAACTGTAAAGTTATAGATTGCATTGACAACTAAAACTTTGGTATAGATCATGTAACGTACAATGTTGTTTGAAAATTCTGAATTTTAAATTTCAAAATATTAGAATAACAAATATTTAGGAATATAATTTAATAGATTTAAATAAAAACTTTTTAACTAGTATAAAGTTGTAAATCGCATTGAGAACTATAACTTTAATTTAGATCATGTCAACATACAAGTAAGTTTGAAAATTTTAATTTTAAATTTAAGAATTAAAGAGCTTGAAACATATTTTTGGGACTATAAACAATTTCAAATGAAAAAATTATCAACTACAAAGTTGTAGATCCTGTCGAGTTCTACAATTTTGGTATGACATTTTATCTTTATTTGAATTCATAAGAAAAATTGATGACTTTTATATACTTTTTAGAGGCTAATCTTAGAATGACCGTCTCTATTAATCTATTTCTAAAGCCTAACACTTAGAATGTCTGCATTTGATTATAGCCATTTTCGAAAGTGATCATGTTAAGAAGCCTGCCTCTATTGATTGATTAACAGAGGTGACAACCTTAGGACAACTGCCTCTATTAATTAATTAGTCATTTTCAGAGGTGAACATCTTAATTTAAGAAGCTCGTCTATGTTAATAGTCGATTAACAAAGCTAAAGATGATTTACAGAGGCGGTCATTTGCCTGGAGGCTGATTGACCATTTACAGAGGTGATCCCTAGATGTGTCACCTCTGTTAATCTGAGAGACTTTCTCATGAAATCCTTTTTTATAGTGTAGAAACCGACGCACTTTTTAATACTCATCCATTCTAAATTGTAAAACATTTTGACTTTTCTAGTATAGCTTTTGTTATACACTAAGATACACGCTGTATGCCCAGATACATAGTAAAAACAATATATAGCATCCAGAAAAGCTAAAATATTTTTTTAATTTACTCCATCCGTTCCAGATTGTAAGTTGTTGTAACTTTTGAGATACATAGCTTCTGTTATGGACCTAGATGTACATTATGTCTATATACATAGTGAAAGTTATGTATCTAGAAAAGCCGAAACAACTTAAAATTTAGAATGGAGGGACTAACACTCCTTAGACGTACTCCTTCCATTCCAAATTAGAAGACGTTTTGGTTTTTTTTTCTAGATATATATTGCTTTTATTATATATCTGGACATAGTTTATATTTAAGTGCATATCTACATATTAAAAAAAATCCGAAACATCTTATAATTTAGAATGGAGGGAGTATTAGACACTGTTGTAGCATATAAAATATTGCTCGTCAAAGTTCTTTCTTTTTTTAAAAGAAAAACACTAGCAATAGTTTGACTTTTAGGTACTGTTATGTTGTGGTTGGTGTGCATGGACTTGGTATGTGTGCCACACGCCATCGTTAACGTCGAGGGTGAATCATAGTTCAGTGAGGCAGAGAGCTGAATGCCCATGCACCAAGCCACCAACGAGTGTCTATCTGTTGCACGAGTACGCTAGCTCATGCATTAACTGCTAGACAAACGAAACGAGCAGCCAAAAGCCGATGGAGAGTCGAGTTCAACGTTCATGCATGCAAACCTAAAACACGTCCACGTTCATGCACACCTAGAACACGTACCTGTCCAAATGCCGAGAGTCACACCCTAGCTGGCCGGTTCACCCTCCACAACCGTTGGCGGTCAACTACCCCCCGCGTTGACAGGTGCAGAGACGACGCTCCCTTCCATTTCAGCTCTGCAATAAGTAGGTGTATAAACTATAAAGGAAAGGAGACAAGCCGGTCCATCGCCGCTTCCTCTCCCCCCCTGCAGCTGCAGTCGTCGTCGCATCTCCCTGCCTCGCCGCGCGCGTCTCCCATCGACTCAGACCCTTTCTTCCTCCATCGCCGGCCGCAGCCCGCAGACCGCCGGACGACCATTGCCATGGGGACTCGAGCACCCGAGAACCATTCTCCTACCAAGGTACGTCGATGGTCGATCTCTCTCTTTCTCTCGCTCTCTCTCTCTCTCCAGAGGTACGGATCTTGTTTTTTTTGCCGGCCATGGCCATGCATGGCTGCATTTTCTTGTTCATATCCGTCGAGCCTTTGTTTAAGGCATCCACGATAATGGAATGTGGAAGCCTTATTAGCAATGCATACATCCTTGTTACAAAGATTCTGAATAAAAACAACAGAAACTTTAGGGTTCTCTCTTTTGCACACATGTCGTTCTCTGATACATGCGAAATGACCTTTTCATCTTCCTTTTCCTTTCTCTCTCTCTCTGAGAGAGCATACACTGGGTAACTGGGTTCATAGTTTTGGACAGAAAAACATTGTGATATTTTGCCTTAATTGCGAGATTTTCCTTTTATTTTTGTGATGAAGTACCCCCTCCGTCCCTAAAAATGAGTTGTTATGGGAATCATGATGGTCAAACTTTCTTAACTTTGATTAGGTTTGAAGAAAATACGTGCAACATTTATATTTTTAAATAAGTTTATTATGAAAGTATATTCAACGATCTACCTAATGATATTAATTATGTATCATAAATATTAATATTTTATTAAATATATTTGGTCAAAGTTAAAAGCTATTGAGTTTTTGAGAAGCGAGAATGACTTTTTTTTAGGGACAGAGAGTAGCTGTTACCACCCTGTTCTTGCTTGACCCTTCAGGTGTAGTGATATTAACTCCCTTGATGTTACGTGTTATCTGCCGCATGTTTTTACTGTTGAGTTAATTATCATTTCCACACTGCTTTTGATTTACAAAATAAATACCTTTAACTTCCGAGAACAAAAAATGAATATATTGACACTGGTTCATCTCACTTATTAACATTCAAAGTTCAAAGATGCACTTCAATCCTACTACTCACATATATATCTGACGCATGTTCTGCCCAAGAGTAATGTAGATGCATGTGCAGTTTTACTGAAATTGACTGCTACACATAACTGAAACAGCAAAATTCAGTACTCCGATCCCTTCGTGCTTTGCTTTTTTTTTTTAAAGAATCGTGCTTTGCTTGTTTTTTTTTTTGAAAGAACAGGAGGGGCAAAGCCCCTACCGAAATTTATTAGAAAAAACAACAGAAACAGACGAGATTAGTGATCGAACAAAATCTTGTGTAGCATGGCCATGCCATTGCCAGCTAACAGCAAACATACTGCATTGTCAAAAACTTGTTACAGGATGAGAGGAATGCTGGGGAGAAGACGATCGACGACTGGCTCCCAATCACCTCTTCCAGGAATGCCAAGTGGTGGTACTCTGCGTTCCACAACGTCACCGCCATGGTTGGCGCCGGCGTGCTCAGCCTTCCTTACGCCATGTCCAAGCTCGGCTGGTACGTGTCACTGTCATCTTCCTGCCCCGGCAACCACCATTGTCGTGCACTGCATATGTTTGCCATGCACATTCTTCACAAAGACTGATACACGTATTATTTTCTGTGATTTTCCTGTTTCCACAATCTGCAGGGGACCTGGCATCGTGGTGCTGATCCTGTCCTGGATCATCACGCTCTACACGATGTGGCAGATGGTGGAGATGCACGAGATGGTCCCCGGGAAGCGGTTCGACCGGTACCACGAGCTCGGGCAGCACGCATTTGGTCAGAAGCTGGGGCTGTGGATCGTCGTGCCGCAGCAGCTCATCGTCGAGGTGGGCGGAGACATCGTGTTCTTGGTCACCGGAGGCAAGTCACTGAAGAAGTTCCACGACGTGATCTGCGATGGCAAGTGCAAGGACATCAAGCTCACCTACTTCATCATGATCTTCGCCTCTTGCCACTTCGTACTCTCCCAGCTCCCCAACTTCAACTCGATCTCCGGCGTCTCCCTCGCCGCTGCTGTCATGTCACTCAGGTAACATTTCAGCTACATTACGTACACCCACTTCAGTTCACTGTAGCAGATCCGGCAAATTTCATTTCCTGAAGACAGCATGCATATAGCTGCTGTAATCGATTGTCACTGACATGCATGAGTTCTCATGACAGTTACTCTACAATAGCTTGGGGAGTGTCGCTGCATAAGGGGAAGTTGCACAACGTGGATTACGACGTTTTGGCGGCGACGACATCAGAGAAGGCGTTCAACTACTTTGGGGCACTGGGGGGCGTGGCGTTTGCATACGCGGGGCACAATGTGGTGCTTGAGATCCAGGCCACCATCCCATCGACGCCGGAGAATCCATCCAAGAAGCCCATGTGGAAGGGTGTCGTCGTCGCCTACATCATGGTTGCCGTCTGCTACTTCCCTGTCTCATTCTTTGGATACTGGGCCTTTGGCAACCAAGTTGATGATAACATCCTCATCACACTCAACAAGCCCAAGTGGCTCATCGCCCTTGCCAACATGATGGTCGTTATCCATGTCATTGGCAGCTACCAGGTAGGATCAGGGACATCCATATGGGCTTCAAAATCTCCTCTGCTGCATGTTGTTAGTGGACAGGCCTTCAGTTTCTCATGTCACTAATGCTCTTCCATGTAACAGTAGTATTGGAGCTAAACTTCGTACCATCTCTTATCCAAATGTTCTTTGGTTGCAGATCTTTGCCATGCCCGTGTTTGACATGATAGAGACGGTCCTGGTGAAGAAACTGCATTTCCCTCCCGGCCTTGCACTCCGTTTGATTGCCCGGAGCACCTATGTCGGTAATGTTGCTTTCTGAAATTTGAACTGAACTTCTCAGTCTAAATAACTACTGTAAAGCTCTGCTAAGCAAAGGGATGTGTCGTACTGATCAAACTGGGCGTGTCAACTTCTGCAGCGTTAACAACGTTTGTAGCCATCACTATCCCCTTCTTTGGTGGATTGCTCGGTTTCTTTGGTGGATTCGCCTTTGCACCGACAACTTATTTCGTAAGCTCCCATTGATCCATGGTTTCCTTGTCGTTTACCGAATGTCACAGAACGTGCAACTGCTTGTATATTCTAGACATAAAGACTGCACTATGTATAATCCTAGTACAACCCATCAAGTCATAGGAATATAGCAATTTGAGATCTGACAGAACCTCTCTTGTTTCTGCCAGCTCCCCTGCATCATGTGGCTTGCAATCTACAAGCCCAAAAGGTTCAGCCTCTCATGGTTCACCAACTGGGTAAGAAATTACTATGAACTAACCATCTTTCTGCAACAGAATTTCCCTGGTTGGGAACTACTACGTATTAATCATCCATTTCTCCATGTTTTCAGGTCTGCATTCTTCTTGGAGTGGTCCTGATGATCCTGGCACCGATCGGAGCACTCTGGCAGATCATCTTGTCTGCCAAGACATACCGATTCTACTCATAAACATCCATGTTCCAACTTGTGAACATGCAAGGGCTCAATCACATAGCGTACTGCAAGTCTTTTGTTGTCCCAAAATAGAAGAGGAGATGCTCCAATAACCAAAACTTGTTCCAAATGATGATACTTGTCAGAGGCATGTTGTGAGTCTTCAGTTACATATTAAGTCAGAGGGCCTGTGGCGGGTTTATCGTAACCCATGCATTTTTTATGGCAATGTTCTAGGGTGGTTATGTACTTATGTGTGCATAAGGAAGAATGAATGTTGGTGGATTCTATTGCTTATACAAGCTCTAATCCGCTTGGCCGTTGGGATGCGTTCTGTCACTACTAAAAAAAAAGGGTGTGTCTATGCAACACTTGCGTGTTTTAGGTTCTTCCAGCATCTGATTTGTTTCCTCCGTACCTTTTTCCTCCTCTTGACACGCCAACAACCACCATCCACCGCCTGCCACAGGCGAGACCCTGCCATGGCGAGACCCTCGGCCACGGCGACCTCCTCCTTCCCCTCCCCATCCTGCCGCAGCCACTCCGCTCCGACCTGGCCCGGTCGCCTCCTACGCCGCCGGAACCCTAACCACCGCCCTCCCTCCGTCCCCACCGCCTGGCCAGCCAGCCTCCTCCGAGCCCCTTCTAAGCCTGCCGGAGTTGGAGAAGAAGAGAGGGAGAAGAAGAGAAGAGAAGGGAAAACTCGAGTGTTGGACAACATTTCTCAAAACAAATTGTTATGCGCAGAACCAAAGCTGCTGTTAGAGCATCTTCAGTAGCCCCATTCTCGACAAAAAACTATCTTTTGAGGGGTTTAGCTTGCTCCAACAGATCTTTATTCTGGTTCTAATTGAGAAAAAAAGTTCTCAGCCCCCCAAAATCCTTCCCCCAACTCCACAAAGTTGAGGAGGAAATCTCGCCCCCAATACATGAATTTTTTTGGTGGGCGGTCCAACTGCCATCGTTGAGGAAGCCAGCCACCCACTGTCGTGATAAGCGCCAACCACCAAGGAAGCTGGCCACCTTGCCTGCATGATGTGGGCTAAATCCTGCCCAAACTCGATGTTGATGTCGTGGCTTGCACCCCAATCTCACCGGCAAACTCCATCTTGGCCACACCACGCACACCCAAAGCTCGAGCTCGCCTTGGCGCCGAGGAGGAGAGGGGAAACAGCGTGGCGCTAGCGAAGTAGAAGAGGAGAGAGAGCAGCTGTGGTGGATGAGAAGAGGGAAAGTGGTGTGTACTGCTGGTAGGGTAGGAGAGCTGGGTGCTAGTGGAGACCTGGCGGCGACACGACTGAGAGAGCGATGGCAGGTAGGGGAGATCCAGGGGCGGCGCCGGTAGAGAGAGAAAAGAGTGATGGGACAGACATAGCTAGAAACGGGCATGTGGGGAGAAAAGGAAAAAAAGAGACAAATCTTGACAGACTCCACATGTAAGAGAGAAGTTATTGGGGATGAATTTTCTTATGCTACTGGACCAGTAGTCCCTCTAACCCAAAAATTATTTTGTGGCTTCTCCAATAATCTGGTATTGAGAGCTACTAGAGATGTTCTTAACTCTATAAAATTCTCTCGCACATGTCCAACAGCTGCCGCCTAGGTGCTCTCCTCTCTTATTCTAAGCACCGACACCAGCTACCAAAGGAGTGTAGGGACCTGCCTCCTTCATAGATTTAATTTCATGTATTGTAGTTCCTTTTTCATCTAGAGTTTGGTTTATTGGCGGTATTGACGACATGGTGGTGATGATGTCCTCTTCTTTCAATCTGTCATATAGCAAGGTCTAGTTTTTTTTTAAAAAAAAACTTTGTTTTTTTGTGAAGGATTGTATAAACATGCAAACCTTAGGGTTTTCCTAGCCAATGTTCTTTCAGTGACCAGGTACTAGTAGATCTCGCTATTAGTAGAGAGTAGATTTTAGTGGTCTTCAAAGCCTTATACAGCAAGGGTATGTGTTTGTAGGTAGAGCCCTTTTACAGTACTTGAAATTGCCTCGCGTTGCCTCCCATTGCCTCCATAAAATATTAATTATCCTCATAAAGGGTATGTTGGTCATTTCACGTGCCTATCATTACTCGCCGCGCCCCGTCCCCGATCCGCGCCCGACGCCGTCGTCCCGACTCGCCCTCGCACTCCGCATCGCCCGCGCTGTCGCATTCACCAAAGCCGCCACCGCCGCCGCCGCCCTCGCACGGCGCCGCGCCGGCCTGCCATCGCCCGCACTGCCCTGCTCTTACCCTAGCGACCGCTGCCCTGCTCTCTCCCTCCCTCTAGCCGCCGCCGGAGCCTCGTCGCGACGGCGGCCCAGCCGCGCCGCTGCCCCCGCCCCCAGCGCAAGGGCCGCGGTGGTCGCCTCCGTCGCCGCCTTCGTCGAGTCTGCCGGATTCCCGCGCGCCCTCGCTGCCCTCCAGTCCGAGGCCAGCCTCGAGGTACCAACTCCCCTGTAATCCGATCACATGATGAAACCTCGAATCAATTTGGTTTGTGTCATGATTTAGAACCTCGAATCAATTTGGTCTTCCCATGAGCCTATGTTGTTCAAATATTACACACTCGAACATTTGTTGCTTTACTCATTTTTTTTCTATGATGTTAATCACTGGCTGCAACTGTACACATAAATATCCATTTTTTAGTTTCTTACATATTCTCAAGTGTCATGATCTTTATTATCTGGAACTGGTTAGATATATGCAGCCATGCAGGACATGTTTTCAACAAAAGCTGTTGCATGTGTGTTTTTAGCATAACCATCCAATATTTTTCAATAAAAATAGTTCTTTAAATTTGGTATTTAATTAGTTTAACTGAAAGACAACAAACTAGCTTAGGTACAGTCATGCCATACTACATCTTCCTATTATTTCGAAAACAATGCTATTTTAGTATCTTCTAGAAAGTTTACACACTTTTTAGGTGTCTTCATGGATAAGAAAAGAAACCAGTAAAGTATTTGTTTATTTGAAGAAGCATGATCAATAATGTTTTTGCAATATGAGTAGGCCTGAATCAAAAGCTGTAAGTGGTTTGTTGCATCTCCAAGAAATCTTTGTAGACTCATTTAGTATCAGCGTTGATGACTAACAAAGAATGCTAGCATTCAATATATTTTTAATTCTGAGTCATCACCTGTGCAAATTCAGCTGATGCCTGCTAGCAGATAACTTCAATATATTTGTAACTCCGAGTTATCATCTGTGTAAATTCAGTACACTTCTTATATTTGTTAATCTGTGTAAATTCGGTACACTTCTTATATTTGTTGTTGGTTTTCATTCCCTTCAAGAGGATGCTAGCAGATAACTCAGGAAAGTTTTTGCCAACTTATACTGCAGAACCTTGATTGGGACCCAAACAAGACAAGTCTCTATTATTGTATTATTGAAAAAAGGGGTGATAACATAGCAACCATTTTTAAGGTTTATAGTTTCTTATTCTCTTCTACTAATGTCTCCCTATCCCTGTGATGGTCTTTTATCCTGCCATGTATTTCATTTTTTTTTCCTTTGACCTGTCTGTTCCTTTTTCCTTTTCTGCTGCATGGCTCACCTAATCATTGTAACTGATAGAAATTCCTTTCCCAAGGACCCAACTTGTGTAGGAACTTCTACCACTCTGTATGTCCTTTTTATATACCTCCCCCCCCCCCCCACCCAACCCACACACACACTTGTGAAATATTAAATACCAAAAAAGAGAAGTACGTTATCGTGATCTATTCATGGCCTTGTCATTTACTACTTATCCTTGTTTGTCTTGTCATACAGCACACAAATTTGATAGTGATATCTTCCAGGTTATTTTCTAAAAAAAATCTTCTTGAACAACACACTGTCACCCTGCACCTTTCACAAGGGGGAAACCTGGCCCTGAACCTGCATACATACCTGAACTATGGAGGGGTATACACAGTATTGAGTATTGGTATTGACATGTGCAACTGTACATAAATTTTGTGATTCAAGTTTATTAGTTGGATTTTTATTGTCATCTTTGATCATCCTCAGTAGTCAACCGGGTATAATTCAACCTTGTCAATCAATAAAGAACACTATTTTCAGCGTGAGAAACTGAAACTACAGGCATATTTCAGCGTGAGAAACTGAAATTACAGGCATATATTTAACATCTCGAAGGAAGTAGATTAAAGTCATTGCATTTTTTAGATTAATATTGCAACCATATCAACAATTTCAATACATAATCAAACATTTCTTAGATTTAAATGTAGAACATGGAAATCAATTATTCATCTGGGATATCTGGCATGGGAAATGCATGTTGGTAATAATGGCACATTTTGGTTAAAACATTAAGCAACTGAAAAGGACCTGCCTCACATGGTACCAACCAATCTTAAGCAGCAACTTTCAGTTGACAAAGACTGTAGTGGTTTGAGTGTCTCTGAACCACAGAAAATCAATTATTGGCTTATGAGCCACCAATAATATCATCCATACACTTCAGCATAAGTACTGTTCCCCCACAGCATATCCATGGTCTCACCAGCTTTGGATTGTTGTTTAGTCAAAAATCAAAACATGACCTTTGTTTTTTTTGAAATCTTTGCTTTTTATATTAATAATAAAAAGAAAGGGAGTCTAAGAAGAGTATAAGACTTATACAAGCCCATTGGGGCAGGGTTTAATACATGGACCATGCCAAGTAAACAAAAAGGAAAACGACCACCAACATATACATGCAAATGCCACTGCTGTATTAGCTTCCATACTCCACAAGATGGTCTCATCCCTTGTATCTTGCATAATGACATTGAAATTAGGAGAGGTCACCTCACAGAAGCATCCATTACTGTGCTTCCATAACCACCAAGCGACCAAAATTACTAATGAGTTGAAGCCTTTGCAGTAGGGTCCTTTTGCAGTATTGCTTTACACTTACCACGAAGGTTGAAGCCGCCACTCAGTTAAAATAACATCATCTGGCCGTGGTATTTGTTTCTGAAATGTGAAATGATACCAAGGTCTTCTTGAAACTGAAAATCCCTGTTC